TACCTTAGGTAGGTTATATAGCCCAGATATTTTAGAACCCGAAGAATTTATTTTGATCGGCTGATATTGTAGAAATCTTTTTCACTCTTTTCGCGATTTAAATGAGTTGTTTGAATTTTGTTTATTCGGAAATCCTGTACTTGACTTTCATATGACAATAATCAAATTCGAACAGCACAATGATTCACTCGGCTTCACATTATCAAGTGTACGTGTGCGATTTCATAAAGCTGAATATGGGATTAACTGGTGAACAAGTGTCAGTACTTCTCCAGAGTTTCTGAGAATGATGCTGTTAATTCTGTCACGGCTTCGAACCACACGACTGAGAGTCGCGTGAAATCTGAGCATCAAACAAAAATGTATTTAAACAGCGGTTCTATCATTAAAAAGTATATGCATTTCGGTCATGAGCCTGAACTTGTCAGGTATCTGTGACGGTTGTTCTTCTACATATACGGAAGAAGAAATGCTTCGATAACGTAAATGATGGGCGGTAGTTGTGCTTAAATTCAATGATGAATATCAACAATTAAATGGAGACTAGGAAAACAAAATTATGGGAGCTGTTGTACCTAGACAAAATCTCAGCAAAGGCAAATTAACTGAAGGTCACTGTTGCGAGTGTCCAGAGAATGTGATAACGATAACAAAAGGAGTGAATATTTATTCATTGTTTGTGTATCGACTTATATTACTTGATAATGAACTCTTAGTTTCCATTTCGGTTGTTGATAAATTGTTGTTAAAATTCGGCACAGTTACCATCTGTCATTTACGCTGTCGTATTCTGTAATTACTCTTCATATTACTAATACAGGAACAACTTCTCTTGATAGACATACAGACACGTTGATCATCGTAGATGCCAATTTTTTTATATTTTTTTTATAACAGAACGTTCTTTAGACAAATAGTTGTCTAGAAGCTCCTCTTTAATTTGAAATAAAGCGTCAATCCAGTACATTGAGATTTGATAAAGACTCACTTTCACATGCATTATTTTGCAAGATCAATTGGGAATCTTTGACTTCACTCACTAAAAATTTGCTGTGATAGATATCGGCTCCTATTTGCGATGAAGTTACACGTTCTCATTACTTGACAGCTTAAACACACATATTGAATACTCATATGGGTAACATACAAACTGTCACGCAATCTCGTTCCACTATCAACTGAAATTTGGATAACATCGACTCCATTATCACCATGTAATAAATACATTTTACAGACCAGTAACCAAATAATTTATTACCTTCCGCTTACTTCATCTTGTTCCTTCTACTGGTGAGAGGTACAACGAGTCAAGTACGAGTATGTGATATCAAACATAACAGTACAAATCATAGTGACCGTTTCCTTTATATGTCTGAGTAATAGCACTCATAATGTGTTGATAGTGTCAGATGAAGTCACAAATAAGTGGGACAATATCGAACCGGAATCCGCAGTGTAATTGAAGTGGAAGTCAAGTACAATGAAATGTTATACTGACAAATAAACCGCAAATCCAAATGATATTCTCTAATCATATAACGCCTAATTACGAGTAAACTGAAGCGTTCGATGCAATCGGCTTGAAAGTGTTTACGAAAGATTCACTGAAACGTCTGTTCCTATTCTTCGTTTGCTGATCAATAATGTACAGTGAAACATTCTGAACGAAATTGAGTTGGTAATAGGAAGATACAGTAAGAATCACATGTCTTCCTCATGCTAGTAACTGCTTGGCCAACAATATGCAGTTGCAGGTCCACATTTACAACAATAGAGTGAGCAAAATTACGTGTGAATGATTTTCACAATTTCCGGTGAATTTATATCATTGTGTTTGTGGTGCGATTGAAATGCGATACGTACACCATATTCTGATTACTCTTCATAATTATTCTGGCAATCACGTGACCAATCCATTTGAGCCTATTTACTACTCTTGAATATTTTTAACCGAGTTGACTTGAATTCAGTTAGCCGACAACTTTCTCTTCTACATGAATCTCATCACAGTAACTGGGATGATCTGGTGGATTGGCTGTAAACAACCACATCTCAACCAACTTAAGTGGGGAGCAGAGTAGTGAACTGTCGAGTTCGTTGTTCATCGAATCATCCTCGTAGCATCATGTATGGTTCTCAACGTCAGAGAACAGAGAGAATAGAGATTATGACATGATATTTGTGTTCGTAGGGCCGAAGTATTGAATGAAACTGGTGTTTGATTTTAACATTTCTTCACTTCATTATCTACATTGTTAGAACCAGCTGACAGAGACAAATCGGAACGTGTCACTTTGTTAACAGTAATTTATAATAGATCAGTTCACATTTTTGGTGAAGTGAGTTTGTGAACGGTTGACGGAGAGAAAGATTGTTGTTTAGAGTCAGAATCTGACACGTTATCACTGTCCTCATAATCATAGTCTGTTTTATTCATGACTATGAGATAGAAATGAAGTCACACCACCAAATTTTCACCTTCACAAACTAAAAATCATCATCACTGTAAATGTGACACAGAATTGAAGTTGATGAATTTTCAACAAGTGACGTAACTTCCCACCTCAATGTAATCTGCAGACATACATCCCATCAGTTGATTTGTATTTACCTCGAGTTCATTGGATGGACCGAATTGTTAGTCGAGAGAAAATTACTGTTCTCACAATGATCAACAAATTATCGTTCCGATTGAATAAATACGTTGTAATAATATCACTCCGAATTTGACGTCATATGTTGATGACTAGTTTCATGTTGGAGCATTAGAAATGTACACAAACACGACAGTGCATTCAAACGAATACAAGAAGCGGATGAACTCATCATTCTGTAATTCAACCAAGAATAATAACGTTTCATATTTAGATTTTCATCCAGTTGAGAGATGGGTTCTATCGCAAAACAAAATCAACTCAGAAACGAATATTAGGAAGGAAGCATTACTCACTAGTCCTCAACTTCAAGGTACGTTTGGTAATGTTATGGTGACAATCTGCTATCAGTGTGACTGTTTCCCTTGGAAGTCGTGACAGTCACTGAATGAGGGTAGCAGTGTATTACGAGTCGATGGAAAGTTCAAGGCAAAATGAACGACAGCAGTTGCACTGACTCTAAACAAGAAGACAGTAACAAAATGCACCATAAATTCGTTGTACATTCCAATGTGTTTAAATCACATGAGCTGCAAACTAGTATTCCTTATACGATCTGTTGTTTGAATGATTCATGTTTAGACACGTGCACATGGTTTCGTCGAAGTGCTTCCATTCCCGTCTTATATCTGAACCACTGCCACCACCGTCACTAGCAAAGAAACCACTCTTCGTCACCGCTGGTCAATCGAAGTATGGTCACATTTACACTACTCACATCATTCTCTAATTATGTTTCATGCATCTCTCGACAATCTGTATAAACTGGTCACTCATTGTATTAACAGTGCCTATCAGGTAGACTGTCATTAAGCCCTATCTATTTTCATTTAATATTGAGTTGATCTTTCAGTGAATATTTTATCTCGCAACCTACATCCAAATTATGAAAATACTAATTAGACCAAAGTGACAAGTGTAACTGGGTCATCTATTCAACAACATCATTAACTCATTTTTCATCCATTTCACCTCTTCTTCAACCTTCCTGATTACAATTTACGTAAATAATAGATTATCCAAATCATGATCATACACCTACATGACCATGTGAGATTTTGTAATTATTTAGTTTAATAGACAGCCATCAATTTGTTTTTCGTTGAAGTTATCCGGAGTTTCTTATCTAAGATGTCAAAATCGAAACACTGAAAATGGTATCCGTTTCGCTACAACCAACCAACTTTCAATATGACTACTGGGTTGCTCAAGAAATGTTCGGATCGATCAATATTCCCTTACTTGTGTGGGAAACGTGTGAATCGAATATGTTGTAAATAGGAGGAGATTGTTGAGAATATGTTTTGCCTCCCTACTAAATGTGGAATGAATTGGTGAGTAGGCTAGGATGTTTTGAAATGCTAGTCAGTAGAATCACCGAATTATTCGTCAGTTTCTCATTGGTATTTTCACACTATATTATTTATTCACCTGTCGGTTGTCTTTATCACATCACTCAGTCAAAATTCAGCTGCACAGTATTCTCTGAACTTCATTTCCGATCCGCGATCATAGTTTGTTTGAAAACTACAATCGAATGTGACAATGGTGAAATTGAATAAAACGGTGCTGTGAAGTGACACTGTATCTTTCATACTGATGTGCTTATTGTTATGGAAACGTTTTTCAGAATATCCAGATTATCTGATGCTTGGTGTCGAGTGAAATGAATTGTTCGTGAATTGTGGTTGACGAGTGTCGATTGAAATTCAGTTCGGAATGAAACAAAATCAAAATTACAACTACTAATCAGTCAGTTGAATGTTAATTTCTTCATACACAGATTTCACTCAACACATTTCAGCTCAACTATTTCAGTCTCAATTAGGCGGTGAAGTGATGAGTGTAATTGACAGCCTCCACAGTCCAGTATTCATTCGGAAATGTCGCTTTTCCAGTTATATCAAAGGTCAACCAATCCAATGTATAGAGTGGAACCCATGTTTGCACGTTTTGTGAACTTCTATCCTTTCAAATTCATATGAGCACAATCACAAAACAACCATCGAGAGCCTCTAAAGACTCGGACGGCAATGCTCGTCATGACTGACGGATCGACATCATATTGCAAACCATTACAAACCGGGAAATAGTGCACAGTTATCCCATTCCACTTGAATCTAAACAGAAAACCTTAGTGACGAAATCATACTCAATAACAATAAAACGTTGTAGTCGAAATGCGACTCACGTAGACAATTACGATTGGATAACGACCTGATTACAATCGACCGTTGATTGATGAATAGAGCAACCAATGAAAATAGGTGTTTTGGACGAAAAATCTATATAAACACCACACATCATCATCATTAACATAGCATTGTAACTTGATATTTTCAGAGAATGTACTGGCCTGGAGATGCAAGTGAGTATCGGTAGAAACTATTGTACCAATGATGAATAATTTTGTTCTTCTTTCCAGTTGTCAACAACCAAGTAACACAAACAACTGTTTATTCCTGTCACCGTAGTGAAGCAGCCACACAATCTACCGTGAGTTCAGATCGATGGTTGAATTATTGTGCATTGTTTGTTTTCTGATCAAATGTGGCAATATTACTGTCTGTGAGTGATGGTCATGTAACTGTTTCGGTGTCAAATCACCAAGCATGTGTGAGAGTGATTTGGCTTCAGCGTTCACTCATTCTCTCTTCCTCATTATGTGTACTTTGTTCGCCCACTGACAGGTGGGCAATGTGCAGTCGACGATGTGTCGAGGTATAGTGAGATCACCTGCATACAACTGACAGTTATACATGCAATTCAGACACAACTTGTACAAATTACCAGTTATTCTTTGCCTTTACACTAGAAAATGAATGACATCCACGAACATTTGAACAGTTCGCATCAGTCTACATTTTGCACATCAATTCTCTAATCTATGTCGGCTCGGTCATTATATGTATTTCACTCTTTTCCATCGATATCATCACAATAAATCTTCTCTTATTATTATTCATTACAGACTTCCTATAGAATATCCAATCTACTGAAACTCATTCCAACATGTCTCAACCAAGTGATATCCAATCTGACGGGATCAGTGAACAGTGTTGTGGATTTGCACTGAACACTATAACTTCGATCGTTTATTTGAGAACATAAATTTTTCATTATATGTACATGATTCTTCCGTTGTTTGTCCACATTGTAAATTAATCATCATTCATTATTGTCCTCATGTTGTTAACATCTGTTCGTGTTTTCACTGGGAATTGTGTAATGCTTTCATCAGAACCATTTGTGTTTGTTGATTATGTTTTATATGTGTTGTCAGTAATAAATTCCTTCTGCATAATCAATAAATGATAATACTATGAATGATTATTCTCTTGTGTTGACGATGCGAGAAGCTTTAGTATGCACAAAGTGTTCACATAGATTGTGATGTTATGAGTGCAGAAGTGTTTGAATCAATTGATGTACGAGTGAAATTCGAGTCACTTAATCATATAGAGTTGTTCGTTACAGACGAAGGGTATTGTGTGGAGTGGCGATTAGGTGTCAGAATGGTGAAACGCTTGATAATGACTAGCATTTAATAATTCACGGTTGTGCTCATCTTCTCCATAATTAACTATGTAAGAATAAGTGAATTTGATGGTAAAGAAGTACGGTGTTATGTTATTCGATTTGTAATTTGGTTGGTTTTACCAAACGGTCACAGACCCCTACACAATACTAAAAGCGTCGACTGATTTATTTTGCACCACGTCACCGAATCACAGAGAGAGTGGGGTAAATAAAATTCAGGTTAATTTCAAGTGTAAACCACTTGTTAAAATGTTAAACCAAGTCGACTTCCCACTAGTCTGATCTAATCAGTTGTGAAACACTATTTTTCTTTGCAAACAGACCGGATTATTTTCAATGACAAGCTTCATACAATGAAGTATATGTAAGGAACTCAAGTCAAACATTGGTTAGGTAGCTGACTCGATGGAATATACAGTTGTGTGACAGTTCCGTCAATACAGGTTTCCCAAGCTAAATTTCGGCACATCGTGGCACTTACTCATAGGCGGTAAACATGTGTCAGTAGATCTCCTGAGTTTCTGAGAATGATGCTGTTAATTCTGTCACGGCTTCGAACCACACGACTGAGAGTCGCGTGAAATCTGAGCATCAAACAAAAATGTATTTAAACAGCGGTTCTATCATTAAAAAGTATATGCATTTCGGTCATGAGCCTGAACTTGTCAGGTATCTGTGACGGTTGTTCTTCTACATATACGGAAGAAGAAATGCTTCGATAACGTAAATGATGGGCGGTAGTTGTGCTTAAATTCAATGATGAATATCAACAATTAAATGGAGACTAGGAAAACAAAATTATGGGAGCTGTTGTACCTAGACAAAATCTCAGCAAAGGCAAATTAACTGAAGGTCACTGTTGCGAGTGCCCATAGAATGTGATAGCGATGACGAAGTGTGTGTGTCTCTCAAGATGCCAGATTCTCTTATTTTAAGTGAACTTTGAAAGTGGTAACATTTTTTAACGTGGTTTAGGAATTCTTCGACTTGCTCTTTTGTAGGGTGTATTATATTGTGATTATCATCCTATCCTGTACATCGGGTACATCTTACCCCGAAAAGTAAGGAAAAAACTTATTTTTATCCGACGGACAATTACCAGTTCGTATTGTACCTATTGCGGACTTAAGTCGTAAATAGATCAGCTATTCATTATATACTCACAGTCTCTAATCCTAGTATTAACCAGGTTAATACTTTATAACAACTAATACTCAGATATTATATTTAATTTAACGAGCACTGTGCTCACTTATTTTCATATCATGTCCAATAACTCCATTAAAAGAGAAATTTCACCAACTTCTAAGCCAAATAAAAGGTCCAAATCTGTAACCCCTACAACTGACGACTCAGTGTTTGACAATGTCGAACCTTTAACTACTGAAAAATATGTGTATTGTACACAAATGTTTCTATCGTCATCAGATTCTCCATGTCGCAGCCCCTCTATCTCTACGTGGAGTATGCCAACGGTAAGACTGGTTGACATACAAGACACTATACCTACGTGCATAGAAAAGCCAGCACAGTCTACTAGACAGTATGTGCTACCAAGGCCTAAATCTAAAATTTCAAAAACTAAAGAGTCCAATGGTCCACCTCATACACACCAAAATACTGATAGATATAGTAATGACATCCGACAGCTACAAAACTCTCTATCCGAAATTAACGGCAAACTTGAGCAATTAGGACCCCTCACTCATATATGGGACCTTGACACAGACAGAAATCTTGAGCAACTCACTAAAGCTGAGTGTATTTTGGAGTTTGTGGCTGAAGAAGTGACGAAGAGAGTGATGTCCTCCTACAATGCAGTTGTGTATAACCTCCCCGACCGCACACATCCATCTAAGTTAAGGGATATTTGCCTTAGAGCATGTGGTATGCCGAACGTTAACTGCAAAGTCATCCGCCTTAGAAAAAAGTCAGACAGATCGACTTGCCCCCTTTTGTTTATGTTTGGCTGTTGTAACGATGCTAAGCAGTTTATTAATTTAAGCAAAAATATTAGCTCACTAATTCCATACAAGAATATAAAAGTTACTCCAGACCTTACGCCCTGTCAACGTCGTGTAAGAAGACGCGAAGCGATAGAATTGAATGCGAGTGTTACAGTTAATAATCAGCCAGAGACAGTTTGCAACACAGCAAATAGTTTAAAACACACGAACAATAAGCATGACACCACTCCACATACGGCTGATCACTCTGTTGATCTAGATGAGTCTACAGATCAGAAGCCTTTGGATAAGATACGGACCCCAACTGACACCAAAAACCATAACGACATGACTAATCCCAGCTGTTCGTTCAGTAATGTACTAAAATGTGAGTCGTGTAACAACACACATCCAACCAAACCTGTACACTTGAAAATTTGTCCTCCTAGAGATATTTCACAAGTAGACTTGAATGAACCTAAGTTCATCTCACAGAGACAACGGAAGACTCCAGGTCTGAAAATAAAGGGTGGGAAGACAAAGCTCATGATACCGAATAGGGAAACACGTAAGATTGAACCCGACTGCTCTATAGGTATCCCAAGAACAGTGAACAGGTTCTCCCCGCTGCTATCGTATAACTTGCCTTCAACACCTCTAAGTTGCAAAATTGGTGGTGGGCTTCAGCGTAGCAAGCCTTCTTACACGCAGACTAACGAAAACTACCAGAGAACTGGTCACCTAAATCACCCCCTGAAGCCTAAAACCGTAAATAAAAATGGTCATAATAGGTTTCTCACTCCACACCCTACCTACGTTCCCCAGGATCGCAACTGTAATTACTCTCAGAAAGAAAACCTCTCACACCCTTTAGTACCGACCCATCACATAACAACGGCTCCCATGTATAACAACAGTCGCAACTCCTCCCAGTTACGCGTAGCAGACCCCTCTCACGCTAACCTAAATAGCCATAACAGGGGCTACGAGTCTAACCATCAAGACTATTTTGTAAATAACCATACACTTCACAGTAGGCCTGTACAAGATTTTTTTGGAATAAGACCCCTAGTGACACCTCTGTTGAAGCATATAGCCCAGGTTATTTCAAACCACATGCAAACCATAAATTTGTTTCCTCCGTACAGTTTCCATCAGAGAGTACTCCCACCCTTTCCTCCTGGGTAAACTCCCCAATCAACTTCACTAGCTCATTTGATACATCTCCCATTAAGTCTAGCTATCAAAATACCGAGCTAATGAAGAACATCCAATCCCTCACATCAAACTCATCTCACACCCGCGAGGGTTACGATGACTTTATCCGAGATACCCTCACCCATTTTAACTTAGTAGGCCACTTGCTTAATATATGTCTTATCAACGCTCGATCGATCTGCAACAAAAAGACGGATTTAGCCCTGTTTGTATCCATATACCAACCATCACTTATTATGATATCTGAAGCATGGACGAACAGTAATATTTCCGACCGAAGTATATCTCTCTTGATAACTATTTTCTATATAGAAGCGATAGATTGAATGGACGAGGCGGAGGATGCCTTATTTACGCTCACTCTAGCCTAAACTCACTGCTATGTGATATGCCTGAACTAAACAAACTGAAGGATTCGGTGTGGATTGTATTAAAGCCGTCGAATTCCTTTACCTTACTGCTCGGCTGTGTTTATCGTCAACCTAACGCATCAATAGATGAAATAGCAGTATTATCGGAGGTATTCACACTAGCATCATCCCTCTCATTCACAGGCAAGCTCATTTGTGGTGACTTCAATATGCCCGAAATTTCTTGGCTGCCAGTCAAAGCGCCGAGACGTTATGAATCATTTATTGAATGTCTAGAGCTTGGACAATGGACTCAGTATGTCGATAGCCCTACCAGACATCAAAACATCTTAGACTTAGTCTTTACCAGTGGCCTCATCCCCAATACTTTGTATATTGGAAAAAAGTTCCCAGGTAGTGATCATAACATTGTCATATGCAGCCTTAATGTAAAAACCACAACCGATAGAAGTAAAACCGTAACACTTCGTAGAAACTATCGCAAGGTTGATTGGAATAACTTCCACAATTACCTAAGAAGCACTGATTGGAGACCTTTCTTTACCTCAAACAATACCGACACATTAACCAATATATTTTATCACAACACCAAAAGTATCATCAACAACATCGCACCTTTAGAATACTGTAAACCTACGTTCTCCAAAGATCTCTATATACCGGTCAGTACAAGAAGACGTCTTCAAAGACATTGTACTCGATTCCACAACTTAAATGACTTTTCCTCTTTAGTAACGATGACAGAAATACTTGTCCGAACAGAGGCAATAAGTAAACAAAAAGCAGTAGCACAGGAAAAACGTGCAGCTGAACTTAATAACAACTCCTCTGCACTCACCATACTACTCCAAAATAAACTTAAACGCTCTAAATCGAGAGGGAGTATATTCATTAAAGGCAAACAAGTATACGAAGACCCCAAACTTATCACAGAATTATTTAGTGAACATTTTTGTTTCTCACTAACTAACGAAAAACCATTTAATGATTCAGAACCAATC